CAACTGCGCCACCAGGGAAGCCCTTTGGCTCCCTTTTTAATTGGATTGTTCACTTTCTTATTGTTGAGTTTTTAGGGTTTTTTGGTATATTTTGGATAATAATCCTTTATCAAATATATATTTTGCAAATATTTTCTCCCAGCCTGTGGTTTGTCTTCTCATTCTCTTGACATCATCTTTCACAGAGCAGAAGTTTTTAATTTTAATTAAATCCAGCTTAATAATTATTTATTTCATGGACTGGGTCTTTGGTGTTGTATCTAAAAAGTCATCACCATACCCAAGGTCATTCAGGTTTTCTCCCATGTTGTCTTTTAGGAATTTTATAGGGTTGCATCTTACATTTAGGTCTGTGATCCATTTTGAGTTAAATTTTGTGAAAAGTGTAAAGACTGTGTCTAGATTTATTATTTTGCATGTGGATGTCCAGTTATCCCACAGTTTGTTGAAAATATTTTTTCTCCAATGTATTGTCTTTACTCCTTTGTCAAAAATCAGTTAACTATATTTATGTGGGTCTATTTGGAGGGTCTCTATTCTGTTCTATTGACCTATTTTCCTATTCTTTTGCAAATACCACACTGTCTTGATTACTACAGCTTTATGGTAAGTGTTGAACTGAGTGGTGTCAGTCCTCTGGCTTTGTTCTCCTTCAATATTAATTTGGCTATTCTGGGCCTTTTGCATCTCCATATAAACTTTAAAATCAGTTCATTGATATTCACAAAACTACTTGCTGATATTTTGATTGGGATTGTGTTAAATCTATAGATCAAGTTGATAACTCTCACCTTAACAATATTGAGTCTTCCTATTCATGAACGTGGAATATCTCTCCATTTAGTTAGTTTTTCTTTAATATCTTTTATCAGTTTTTCAGTTTTCCTTATATAAATCTTTGTTATGGACTGAACGTTTTATGTTCCCCCAAATTCATATGTTGAAACCCTACCCCTCAAAATGATGGTATTAGGAGGTAGGACTTTGATGAGGTAATTAGATGAGGTCATGAAGGTGAAACCCTCATGAATGGGATTAGAGCCCTTATAAGAGTCATAAAAAGAAAAACTTGCTTCCTATGTCTGCTTTCCACCATGTGAGGATACAAGGAGCAGTTGGCAGTCTATAACCTAGAAGATGGCTTTCATCAGAACCCAACCATTCTGGCACCCTGATGTTGGACTTCCAGCCTCCAAAACTATAAGTACTTAATATCTGTTATTTAGAAACTGCCCAGTCTATGGTAGTTTGTTATAGCAGCCCAAACAAACTATGACAATTCTTGTGCATATTTTGTTTATACCTAAGAATTTAAAATTTTTGTATGCTAATGTAAATAGCATTGGGTTTTTAATTTCAGTGCTGGTATATGGGAAAGTGACTGACTTTTGTATGTTAATTTTGTATCCTGCAACCTTGCTATAATCATTTATAAGTTCCAGGAATATTTTGTGGGCTCTTTCAGCTATTCTATGTAAATGATCATGTCATCTACAGACAAAAACAATTTTATTTCTTCTTTCCCAGTAGGTATACATTTTATTCCCTCTTCTTGTCTTATTTCATATGCTAGGACTTTCAGCACAATGTTGAAAAACCAGTGATGAGAGAGGACATCCTTACCTTGTTCCTGATTTTTGCAGGAAAGTTTTGCATTTCTCACCATTAAGTATGATGTTATCTGTAGATTTTTTTTGTAGATGTTCTTTATTAAGTTGAGGAAGCTCCCCTATATCCTAGTTTTGCTGAGAGTTTTTGTCATGAGAAGGTGTTAGATTTTGTCAAATAATTTTTTCTGAAGCTAATGATCTGATCATGTGATTTTTCTTCTTTAGCTTGTTGATTTTAGTTGATTTTTGAGTCTTGAACTACTTTGCATACCTGAAATAAATCCCAGTTGGTCGTAGTATGTAATTGTTTTTATACATTGTTAGATTTGATTTGCTAATATTTTGTTGAGGATTTTTGCCCCACCCTCTTTTTACACTAGAACAATGGTTCTCAACTTGGAATTTGGAAATATCTGGAGACCTTTTTGGTTGTCACAACTTGTGGAGAAAGGATGATATTGGCATCTAGTGAGTGTAGGCCACAGATGCTGGGAAACACCCTGCAATGCACAGGAGAGGCCCCACAACAATTATCCCACACAAAATGTCAGCAGTGCCAAGAATAAGAAACCCTGTGCTAGAACGTGTGCTTCTATTATCAGGTACATGGACCTATTTCTCACTCAAAGGGAACACTGAAGATGGGTCTTAGCAAAAGTGAAAAATACTAATCTTCTAGATACCCCTACTTTAAGCTAAAATATATGTGTGTCCACTCCCTAATTCTCAAGAGGGCTGCTTGTAACCTAGATCAATGCATAATAGTAACAGAGGATCTCAGCTTTCTCAATAGCTGATCTTAACACTTCTTCCTCTCATACTAGCAATTAAAACCACATTTCTCACACAGGCTCAAACTGACCAATGATAAGTATCTGGAAGATACTTTAAATGACAGGTTTCTGTTCTACAGAAACCATAAAAATGACCTTAAGAGACAAAAAGATTTCAGCTACCAGTGTATCATGTGTTTGAGATCCACATGCCATCTGTTTCCGTTTACTTGTGTGCTCTCTGAGTTTCAAAAGCCAGAGCTTCTGCACATTTGTGCAGTAGAAACATAATGTGGACCATTTTGGAAGACATTGGTAATCTAGTAAGCCATCATCAGTCACTTGTCTTCAGCATCTCATACACTAATTTTGAGGTATTAAGTGTTATTTTAGTTAGATAAATTTTCTCTTAACTTAAGTGAGAGGGATCATTATTTTTCTTTTTGTCAAATCCCATATAGATGAAATGTCAAACCACATGATCTATAAGGCAAAAATTATGTTAGTATTAAGACTTGGACCTAAGCCCTTAGTGAATGGAGGGAAGATAGAAGAGAAGAGGACTGATTATGAATAGAAACTCCTTTAAGGCCCTAAATAGACTGAAAAGACAACAAGGAAACAGTTCTTTGACTCCACAGTGACAGTACTTGTCCGAGCAATAATCACTGTTTGGATAGTTTGTGATGTAATTTGAGAGATTCTAAGAAAGCTCCTTTTCTTCAAATGTCCTTTCTGCTTCAAATTCTATCACGTGATTGATTTGAGGAGTGAAGGTGATGAGAAATCTTTGAGCTTTCTAGTTAAAAACACACACCCACAGCATTGGTCCCACTTTGAGCCTTACCAACCAGTGTCATTTGTATAATGGGAGGGACAGTAGAAACTAAGGTAGGAAAATTACCAAGGCAAAGTTTACACCATAATGGGAGGGACAGTAGAAACTAAGGTAGGAAAATTCCCAAGGCAAAGTTTACACCATTTACTTTGGAGTCAGTCCTAGAGCTCAGCCTTGGAGGGGGAAGGAGAAGGGAGAAATCAAAGAGTTGCCTCTGCTAGTCAGATCTACCTGGGAAAGGACACCAGAGCTCAGGGCTAAGTGGTAGAAATGGTAAGGGTGTGAGGATGTGTTTGTGGAGGTGTCAGGAGAGAAGGGCTGAGAAGGGAAGGATGAGAAGCTGAAGACTGCCTGAGATGGATGTGATTAGATGAAAAATGGTAGGTTTCCTCCCACTACAGTCTGAGGGTTGGTTTGCAAGAAAAACCATTAGAGCGAGGCTGTTTCATTAATTATGGAAAACCCTGAGAGAAAAAATTTGTGAAGCCCTCACTGGCATATGGTTGGCAGGATTAGGACAGACAAGCCACAGGGTTCACAAGGGAGAGGCTCAGTGTACCATTTAATTATATGCTTATCTTATATAAGCACCTAACACAAGAGATTTATGGTAAATAAGATAAGCATAGGTTGTGTGGGTCACTCGCGGCATCTAGTTCTGAGTAACCCGCTAATTGTTATTGATTGTGTAAAATTTCACACACCTTGGTAAACTACATTGGGTGTGGCCTCCTCTAAATAGAATCACTATCCTTTAGAGCCCTTAAGTCCTAATATTCATAATAATAGCTATTTTAATTGTATAAAACACACACATATAATTTATGAAGACATTAAAAGGATTTTCTGATATAACATTTTTTGAGTTGTTTAATCAATACATTTTTGCTCTCAGTAATAATAGCTAGTTCTTAGTTTTCCCATAGTTTCCCCAGCCATTGAATTAATGGAGTCATTTCTTAGATTTGAGTCTGAAAGCTGACTTCTTTGAATCCCTACGGAGAAAATAACGTTTAAGATATGGGTTTTCGGGCTTCCCTGGTGGCGCAGTGGTTGAGAGTCCGCCTGCTGATGCAGAAGACACGGGTTCATGCGCCAGTCCGGGAGGATCCCACATGCCGCGGAGCGGCTGGGCCCGTGAGCCATGACCGCTGAGCCTGCGCGTCCGGAGCCTGTGCTCCGCAACGGGAGAGGCCACAGCAGTGAGAGGCCCGCGTACCAAAAAAAAAAAAGTCAGGGAGACATCAATATGATTTCAAAATAATGCAGTAAATGCTGGGTGGAAGGGGTGCCCCAGGTACAATGGCGGCCCCATTAGCAACATCTAACGCAGCTTGATTTAACCACCTGAAAGATGTTGTGAAGATGAGAAACAATTTAAGTAAAGTGACTGGTATAAAGCCTCTCACATAGTAGGTAGGCTCTCAATTAGCAGGAACACTATTTTCTCATCAATTGTGTGGACCTGGGGGGACATGGGCCCAGGTCTCAGATGATGATTGAAGATGGAACTTATGCTTCCACTTTCAGTGCCTCTATTACTCTTTTAAAATGTTTTTCAAAATATTTGTAAAAGATTTTCCATTTATTGATGAAAACTTAGACTGTGCCTCTTGTTTCAAAAAAACGAGAGCCTTTGCCTCTTCTTGGACATTTTGGTTTTTTTTTTTTTCTTGCCATGAGATTATAGACAGGCAAATGAGAAGAAACCACCATTTGCCTTAGTGACCTAGAACTAACCATTTTCCTTTGTGTTTTTTCTTATGTTTCTCTGCTCAGAATCACTACCCAAAACTGCTCTATAGCCAATGTGAGGATTAAAAAGTGAACACCTAAATGGTAAGAAAAAGCATGAACATGAGATAGTTGCATAATCTATGCCTGTCTCCTCATCTGTAAAATGGGCATAATAATAATACACACCTCATAAGGATACTGAAAGAGTTAAATAGATACTATATATAAAACATTACATAAATATTAGCTTTCATTGTCTATGTAATCAAATACATTTAAAATGTAATTTTCCAAAGTACTAATTTAGGACCTCGTATATATTAAATGCTCTAGAGTATTATTTATCTTGCCAAAGGTATCATTTCTTCTCTGCTATTGACATTAATCTTTTCTTTCTTGTCTGCACCAAATCATCACTTTTTCTACTACAAACAGTAGTGAATCTGGCAGAATAAGGCCTTCATCAAAAGCAAGGAGACCAAACAAGGAGATGAGGAACTGTACCAGGGATCTGTCCATTTATCATTCTGGAAAAGATAAAGAAGACATTTCTGAAGCATTAACTTATGAGCCTAGAATTCTAAATTACATCATCTATAAATCTAAGCTCCTCTTAAGTGATACTTATACCTGAGTTTGAGAGCTGAAGAATAATGGTGTTTATCTGCTAGGGCTCTGTGGATGGCAGAGATCCCAGAATTAACATTGATAATCAAGACTGCTGAAGAAGCACTGACCACTCTAAATCAATTCCAGGTGTTTTATCTGGTGATAATCTCTGTCTTATAATTCAAACAGGCAATGAGAGTGCCATCGATGGGTAATTCTCTGGTCATAATTTGTTTTGCTGGCTTTGGGTGGTTTTAAGGGGGTGGGGGACGGTATTTCTTTTTCTCCCCTCAGGAAAAGCAATTGTGATTAGCAGGAGTGACTACAGAATGGAAAAATACATGCCTTGATGATAGGCTTCTGGCCTCTAGTAATTAAAAGCAAATTAAAAATAACATTTTCATTTATCAGATTGACCAAGATGAAAAGAATAAGATTATCTGGTGTTAATGTGGATGTGTAAGGAAATAGGAACTCTCACATACTGCTATTAGGAGTAGAACTGATTTTGCTGTTTCCAGAATAACAATTTGGCAATTTTAAAAAGTTCTTTAAAAGGGAAATATTCTTTAAACCAGGAGTCTCATTTCTAGAAATTTCTCCTGAGGAAACAATTGGACAAGAGCCCCCCAAAATATGACATCGTTCTGTAACACTATCTAAAATAGTGGTAAATATAAACCTAAATAGCCATTAATAGATTAGTTAAATGAATTAAAACCATACAAAAATGGAATACCACACAGAAACTAAAAATAAAGATCAACATTAAATTGTTTAAAAACCAACCTGGGTGTCTCTGGGTGATGAAATTTGGGGTGATTATAGATTCGTTTTCTTTATCCATTTTTGAAATTTTCTAGCAATCAACTGTGATCAATCATTGATCTAACCCCTGAAAGAGTCGTTGTGAGGAGGAGAAACAATTTAAGTCAGGTGACTGGTATAAAGCCTCCCTCATGATAGGCTCTCAATTAACAGGAGCTATTATTATCTTCTCATCAATTAGGTGGACTTGTGGGCACACAGGCCCAGGTCTCAAGAGATGACTGAAGATGGAAATTATGCTTCCACTTTCAGTGCCTCTATTTCTCTTTTAGAACAGTTTTCAAAATATTTGTAGAAGATATTCCATTTATTGATGAAAACTTAAATGGCCTTAAATGTGACTCTTGTTTCAAAGGAAATGAGAGCTTCTGCCTTTTCTTGAACTTTCTTTTTCTACAATGGGCTTATAGACAGGCAAATAAGAGGAAACTACCAAATGGTAGTTTAGTGACCTAGAGCTAACCATTTTCCTTTGTGTTTTTTCTTATGTTTCTCTGCTCAGAATCACTATCAAAAAGTCCTCTATAGCCAATGTGAGGATTACAAAGCAAACATCTAAATGTTAGGAAAAAGTATGGTATTTGAAACTTATTTCCCTTCATCTTAGAATGTTTATTAAGAAAGTTAAGAAACCACAAGTTTCTATGTGATGTGTGAATCACATTCTAGAAACGTATAATCTTTCGATAAAAATGGATTCTAGTGATATTTAACAAGGCCGATAGGTCACAGGACACCAATTTCCTGAGCTGAGCTTATTCAATAATGTGAAGGCAAATTAAACAGGAGTATTATCTTGGTAGTCATTAGGAATCATTACGAAGGGTTGACTCTGTCTCTTGATTACTTAAGGTTTCAAAGAATTGGATTCCTCCCTACGTTGCTGACTCTTTCCTTCTTTGATTCTGTTACCTCCCTTTCTCCCAGCTCCTTCTAGCCTCCTGCTAACCTGTCTTGCACTTGAGCCTGCTTCTTTCTCTGCGATTCACATGCACAGGCTTCAGATAAGGACTGCAGTGGGAGTTAACCATCAGTCGTTCTTCTCACGTGCAGCAGTCTCAGGCCTTCTCTCTGGAGTCTAAAAATAGTCTACTATTGATATTTTCTTTCTACATAAGTAAAATTTTGATCATTAAAAAAAAGAACTACAGTCAAGCAAAAAAAGTGAAAATGAAAAGCATCTGTAATCTACTCACCCAGAAAACCACTGTTATAGTTCAGAACGTAGCTTTCCAGTGTTTCGCTATGCGTCCAAAAGAATTTTTTTACAAAAATTGGATCATAGTCTTATACAGTTTTCTAACCCGATTGCCTTTTCCCTTAATCATTATACAAATCTCTCCATGTCATCCAAAATTCTAGGACACCTTTTTCCATTTCAATTTAACAAACATTTCTTTAAAACCATATACAACCCTGTGTTACCTGATAGGGCCCAGAGGCGAATCAGACAAAGACAGCTTTGCTTGCAAACACAAAATAAGCACAAACCAGGTGAGTGTAGGGAGGGGGTGGACAGGGTGTTGTAGAAATAAATGCCAGGAGATTAAAGTTTGACCAGAGGCTGGGGAAGGGTTCCTGAAAAAGTGCCTGTACCTCATAATCTGAATGCAGGTGTTCCAGTGTATAGATGGACCTATAGACTATCCGCTCATATTTGAGGCCTCTTCACCTGGCTAGGTCTACCAGGTATTCATATCTATCTTAAAATTATGCTTCATAAGTCCTGTTAGCCATCTGTGTGTAGATAGTCTTGCTTCTTTGCCTCTGTCAATCAAGAGGGTATATGCTTATCTAACAGGTGTCTTCTAGGCCACCAGCCTATGATTAAAAAAGGAATAACACAGAAAAAAAAGTAACTGAGGATTTCTTCAGTCTGGCCTTAACTTCAGAACTGCCTGCTGAATGCACTGCAGGCACACTGCCTAGGTTCAAACTCCAGCTCTACAAGAGGCACTGGGGAAAGTTTCTTTTCCTCTCTAGGCTTCTTTCCTCACTGGTAAAATGGGGGTAATTATTGCACTTCATAAATATGTCATGGGGATCAAGTTAGAAAATTCATGTGATGTCTGGCTTAAATTTAGCATTATTGTTACTATTATTATTAATTCATTCATTTAGCTGAAATGGCAGGAAGAGAGAGGAATGGAAGCCTGGTAACTCATAAATTCTACAAATTCCTAAGTAACTCCAGATTGCTCCTAGTATTGCTAGATCATGGTACCACCGACACCACCACCTGACAGGCATGGGGCCACTTTCCTGCCAGAATCCAGACCATTTCACTACCTGAAGTTTTTTCATCTGACAAGGAACACTCAAGATAAAAGCACCAAATATTCTTGACATTAAGGAAGCCCCAGAATCCCTTCCCAAACCAATTCTTTCACTATATATCCTGTTTGTCCCCTCCCTCTTCTTCCAAAAGAATCCAGACCCACGATCTCTTTTTTCCATTTCTGCTGTGTTGGGGGAGGGGGGGGTGGGCATCCTGTTTGCATCATATATTTTCTCTGACAAAGTTGAGAAGTCTAATGTCCCTGCTCTTTTCTGTCTACTAAATATCCACCTTTGATTTTATATTTAGAGAAAGGATGGAATGAGGGAAAGAGTGATTTGGAATATTCAATTCAGGATAACATTCTGGATATGAAATTATATAGGAAGTCCCCAATCAAATATTTGAGTTGACAAATCTCTTACCTCTTTAAAAGGGAAAGAATATATTTCTAACTGTAATCATTGGAGTAAGTGTTTTTCTGCTTCGATATGGAGACTTGGGAAAGCAGAAGAGTAGTTTTTAAAGGAAGTATTTTCTTGAGCAGTGGACAGCATGTGGAACTTAGAGTGTGATAAACAGTCTCCTGATTACTGGTTGTGTGACCATTTTTGAGGCTAGGATCCCGATTTCTGGGTCTTGGAGACTTGATCATCAAAAATGATCTCAAAATGCATCAGATAATACCTGCCAATATCATAGAAACATCGTGAGGCTCACATAATATTTGTAAAAGTCACTTACAAATGTTGAAAGTTTTGCAAAAGTTAATTATTATTTTTTAAATGAGCTGCCTCTTTCTTAGGTATAACATCTGAAGAAGTCCATGGAGGAGATGTTATAAGTGTTGGGGAGGGAAAACGTTTTCCTCTACCCTTTCTGGGTTCTTCTGGCTGGTCTAAGAATTAAATCGACATGAGACAGATTAACAGGAAAATATCAAATTTAGTTATGTATGTACAGGGGCCTTATAAGAAAAATGAGACCCTGGGACAAGTTAGGCAATTGAGGCTTAATATGCCATCTGAGAGAAGAAGGGGGTAGGGTACTGGGGCTTCAAAGGCGAGGAAGGAAATTCACACGGGGATGGAAAAACAAATGTTTGGTAACAAATGTTTGCTGGGCCCTGCAGAGACAATGGGACACAGGGAGGACTTTGGGTTCCAGGCTCTGCTGAGCTCCCCATACCACACGTAGCCCGAATTCTTTGTAGGTATCTCTGGGGATCGTGCTCCTCCTGGACCAGGCTCTTTGTCTAAATTCTTTTAGGTAGTTAAGGTGGGGGGGGTGTAAAAGAAAGAAGTTCTCGAGTCTTCTGTTTCTTAAAAAATAATCAGCCTAAAATAATCTTCATGCCAAAGAGACATTTTTTTTTTTCAAAGAGACATATTTTGAGATGGCAAATTTTGCTCCCCTATGTAAGCCTCCCTCCAGCAAATTTCACAAATATTTAGGAAAGAAAATGTATTCCTTTCAAATTCATTTCATGTATTTCTGTTGCCAATTATTTCTAGGAAGTTTATTTAGCTACAAGTTTATTTCACACAAGTAGCTAAGAATATTGCCGATATTTGACTTCACCCATCAGTTAAAGAGAGTTTTTGTGGGGTTTTTTTTTTGACCTTTCACATTTTAGCATTAGCACTTCTGATGTCATTTCCCTACAGATTCAAGGCTGGGCACAGGAAGCACATGGCAGGTACAACTGCAGAGAGCTGAAGTCTGGTCTAAGCAAAGCTGGTATCACGGTGACGATTCACTTCCGCTGACCTGCAGGTGCTGCTCCTGCTTTTTGACAACATTGTAGTGGAGCTGGAGGAATGTGGGCTTTTGAGTTAGAGTTATGGTTCCTATGAGTCTTTCAAATTTAGTTTCCTTATCTTTAAGATGTAGATAATAATCCCTACCTTGCAGCATGTTTGAGGACATAAGGTGAAGAATATTAAGTTCTGTAAGAATCCTGGAACTTAGCGATAAAAAATAAAAGATAAAAAATAAAAATAAAAGAATGCTTCCTTTCTTCTTCCTCCTCCACCTCTGGCTGATGCTCTGGTGTCTCCAGCTGAGTCCCCGGCCACCTTGCTGCAGCACAGTGAGGGTCAAATTGGCACCAAGCTCAGTTTGCTGCGTGTCCCCTCCTAGGAAGGACCCTGAATTACAAGCCGATTTTCTAGTACGGTGCTAATTGCTTTGTCGTATGGTATGTAGAAAAATGAATTCAAATCTGTGTCTTGATGAATGCCTGCTCATTGAACATGCACCTATTTATCACATGATGGCAGTGACAGTTTTTCCCAGAAAGAAATGTTTCTGATTTACATATGTGTGGCTGATACATGAAGTGGGTTTTATAAATCACTATGTTATCACCGCCAAAAAATGCCCTCTAGCTATATTAAAAAGAGCCCATGACAAGGAGCCTACTATCAACTTGAATGGAAAGGCCATAAAACCATCAGTTCATTTGACATAAAGCTGATATATTATGTGATAATGCTTCAGGTAGAACCCGGGACCCCATTCATCACACAGGCTGCTCCTCGGCTAGGTTCTGAGCTGTGTATTAATGAAATGGTCACACTCGACTCATGCTACAGATTGCAGTTCCCAACCAGCACTGGAAACCTACACACCAGAAAATGTTCCCATTGAAAATACATTTCATTCAGTAATGAACTTTCCTGGCAGAAATTTACATCAGGATAGAGGTCACACTGCCTCTTGGGGATACAGTGTCCTCAAGTGTAAAAGGTTGACTAGATCCATGGTTTGCAGTAAGAGAAACACAGCTTTAAAAGATCTCTAGGTGATTCTGATGCTCAGCCAGAGTTAAACCTTTTTTCTGTGTCATTCGAGGAATAACAGCATCAGCATCTGCTGGGAGCTTATTAGAAATGCAGAATCTCAAACCTACAGTATAAGAATCTGAATTTTAACAAGATCTCCAGCGATTCAGCGGACATTAGAATTTGAGTAGCATTAGAACAGTGTTTCACAAACATAGCCCCATATTAACATTGCTTGGGAAGCTTTTAAATATCCCAATGCCCAGCTGCATGACAGGCTCAAATCAGAACCCCTAGGTAGAACCCAGGCATCATTTATTTTGCTGTTGTTTTTTTTAACCTCCCCAGGAGATTCTAATATGTAGCACATTTGAGACTCACTAGCGTAGAACCTCATTTACAGTTTACACGTGAGACTTCAGCTGGAGTCACGAAAGCACGTGATAACAGGAATGCGCAGAATCACCGGCTTAGGAGGGGGTTTCAAACAACAGCAGAAAGGAGAGGTATTCCTTATGCACTCCTCCTTTGGCCAGGAATCGTCTCATCCTTTCATATATGACTTGAAGACAACCCTGTCAGGTAGGAATTGTTAAATATTTCTGAAATGAGAAAATTGCGGTTCAGAGAGGTAAAGTGATTTGCCCAAGGTTATGTAGTTAGAGAACAGTGTTCATCGCACTCTGAAGCTCATGTTCTGTTATATTACCTTCCCCATCCCAGGTACCATTGCGCCTCTCCTGCTGTGCCTCCCAGAGTAGATTAGATTTTTTAAGTGGGAGCATTTTCAGGATTGGTAGGTAGAAATAGGGTGATTGCCAATTCCAGGGTCATCAGAATGGAATGTGAGGAAAGATCCAAACTTGAAGCTTCCTGGGGATAAAATCAATAGAAAACTAGAGGAGCTCAGATCTGCCCAGCTGGGTGGTCTGGATTGAGACTGTCTTATTGTCTTTTCTCCAGTTGACTAAGGCAACCTCCTCAGGAAGTAATGACCATACTACTATGTGAAATTCAGTACTCACTTAAAAAAAAACAACAAAAAAAACTTAATTGAGATATAATTGACATACAATAAACTGCACATATTTAAAGCATACAGTTTGATAAGTATTGGTATATACATGCACCCATGAAACTGTCACCACAATAATGATCATATCTGCCGTCCCCTAAATTTTTCTTTGTGCTTCTTTGTAATACCTCCTTCCTGTTCCTCCATGCTCCCAGGTAGCTAATGATATGCTCTCTGTCAATATATATAAGTTTTATGGGGAATTCCCTGGCGGTCCAGTGGTTAAGACCCCATGCTTCCATTGCAGGGAGCACGGATTCGATCCCTGGTTGGGGAACTAATATCCCACATACCGCCTAACGAGGCCAAAAAAAATAGATGTTTTCATTTTCTTTTTTTTTTTTTTGAATGTTTGAATTTTATTTTATTTATTTTTTTATACAGCAGGTTCTTATTAGTTATCCATTTTATACATATTAGTGTATATATGTCAATCCCAATCTTTCTAGAATTTTACACAAATGGAATCATATATATATTACATTTTTATCTGGCTTCTTTCAATAAGCAGAATTATTTTGAGATTATCCAAATTGCTGTATGCATCAAAGATTTGTTCTTTTTATTGTTTATCCATTTAGGTGGTAAGGGGTTGTGATGTAAGAAATATATATTTGGTCTTTGTCTCTAGGTCCTGACGCAGAGCTCCTAAAGCCCTTGGAATTGTCTGAGTGATAAGTTGCTCAGCATGCTAATGAGATGACTCTTGGCCGAGGGGTCCCTTGATAGCTTTAGGATGGGGGCTAGTCACCAGAAAGACTGAGACATGTGGGAACTTTCAGTGTCCCAACCCCGTTCCTTCAGGGATGGGAGAGGGACTGGAGATTGAAGTACTCACCAATAACCACTGATTTAATCAATTATACCTACATTAAACCCCTTAAGTGACAGGTTCCTAGAGCTGCCCAGTTAGTGAACACACCAAGGTGCTAGGAGGGTACCACACCTAGAGAGGGGCATAGAAGCTCCATGCTCCTCCCCCATACCTTGTGGTATTCATCTCTTCCATCTAGCTGTTCCTGAGTTGTATTTCTTATTATAAACAGGTAATAATTGTAAGGAAAGAGCTTTCCAGAGTCCTGTGAGCCATTCTAGCAAATTATTGACCGTGAGGAAGGGGTCATGGAAACCCCCAATTTACAGCCAGTCAGTCAGAAATATGGGAGTCCAGCGACTTGTGATTGGCATCTGAAGTTGGTACAGTCTTGTGGGTCTGAGCCCTTAATCTGTGAGGTCTGTGCTGACTCTACGTAGTTAGTATCAGAACCAAACTGAATTGGTAGGACACCCAGTTGGTGTCCAGAGCAATGGAACACTGATTGTTGGTGTGGAAAACCCCCACACATTTGGTGTCAGAAGTGTTGTGAGTAAAACTAGCTCAGAGGGGCGTTTGGGTTATTTTCAGTTTAAGCTCTATTCACAAATAGAGCTTCTGTGAACATTAATGTACAAGACTTTGTATGGACATATGCTTTCATTTCTCTTGGATAAATACCTAGGAGTGAAAGGTCTGGGTCATGTAGAGGTGTTTGTTAAACTTTGTATGAAAATTTCAAACTGTTTTCCAAAGTGACATTTTATATGCCTGAAAGCATCACATGAGAATTCCATATGTTCCACATATTTACCAACACTTGGTATATTCAATCTTTTTAATTTTAGATATTCTCATAAATGTATAGTGGCATGTCATTGTTGTTTTAATTTGCATTTTCCTAATGACAAATGATATTAAGCGTCTTTTTGTATATTCATTTGAAGTGTGTGTGTATCTGTCTATTTTTTTGCCCATTTTTTTTTGATTTGATTTGATTTTATTATTATTTTTTTAACATCTTTATTGGGGTATAATTGCTTTACAATGGTGTGTTAGTTTCTGCTTTATAACAAAGTGAATCAGTTATACATATACATATGTTCCCATATGTCTTCCCTCTTGCGTCTCCCTCCCTCCCACTCTCCCTATCCCACCCCTCCAGGCTGTCACAAAGCACCGAGCTAATATCCCTGTGTCATGCGGCTGCTTCCCACTAGCTATCTACCTTACTACGTTTGTTAGTGTGTATATGTCCATGACTCTCTCTCGCCCTGTCAAAGCTCACCCCTCCCCCTCCCCATATCCTCAAGTCCGTTCTCCAGTAGGTCTGCGTCTTTATTCCTGTCTTACCCCTAGGTTCTTCATGACATTTTTTTCCCCTTAAATTCCATATATATGTGTTAGCATACGGTATTTGTCTTTTTCTTTCTGACTTACTTCACTCTGTATGACAGACTCTAGGTCTATCCATCTCATTACAAATAGCTCAATTTCATTTCTTTTTAAGGCTGAGTAATATTCCATTGTATATATCTGCCACATTTTCTTTATCCATTCATCCCACGATGGGCGCTTAGGTTGTTTCCATCTCCGGGCTATTGTAAATAGAGCTGCAATGAACATTTTGGTACATGACTCTTTTTGAATTTCAGTTTTCTCAGGGTATATGCCCAGTAGTGGGATTGCTGGGTCATATGGTAATTCTATTTGTAGTTTTTAAGGAACCTCCATACTGTTCTCCATAGTGGCTGAACCAATTCACATTCCCACCAGCAGTGCAAGAGTGTTCCCTTTTCTCCACACCCTCTCCAGCATTTATTATTTCTAGATTTTTTGATGATGGCCATTCTGACGGGTGTGAGATGATATCTCATTGTAGTTTTGATTTGCATTTCTCTAATGATTAATGATGTTGAGCATTCTTTCATGTGTTTGTTGGCATTCTGTATACCTTCTTTGGAGAAATGTCTATTTAGGTCTTCTGCCCATTTTTGGATTGGGTTGTTTGTGTTTTTGATATTGAGCTGCATGAGCTGTTTGTAAATTTTGGAGATTAATCCTTTGTCATTTGCTTCATTTGCAAATATTTTCTCCCATTCTGAGGGTTGTCTTTTGGTCTTGATTATGGTTTCCTTTGCTGTGCAAAAGCTTTAAAGTTTCATTAGGTCCCATTTGTTTGTTTTTATTTCCATTACTCTAGGAGGTGGGTCAGAAAGGATCTTGCTGTGATTTATGTCATAGAGTGTTCTGCCTATGTTTTCCTCTAAGAGTTTTATA